TTCAATATGGGAGGGAAAACCATATTGACCATCTACTACAAAATGGGCATTTTGTCTTTAGAACATTTAATTACTCTAATAACCCTGCAAGGTAGATATAATTGTTTCTATTTTATAGATGACAAAACTGAAATTCAGAATGTTTGTTTTGCTCAAGGCCACACAGTTATTAAAGCAGGTTGCTGGGTTCTACACTAGGTCTTTCGGGCTGAACTGGCCTTGCCCCACCCTGCACAGGCCACCTCCATGGGCCGACACTGTCTCAGAACAAGCTTGTCAGAGCTTATCACCAAGCTGGAGCCTGTGTAGCAAACAGCAGGATAGCAGAATGTTCTGGGGGACAATCTGCGTGTGGCTCAGTCCTGTGCTCCTTTCTACTCTGGCTGGCCACCCCTTTCCCAGCTCCCTGAACATCGCACATTGGCCTGCAGGGCCTGTGCCACTCGGAGAGCCCAGTGGGCAGCTGGGCTCAGTGCTCTCAGGTCTCTCCATAAAGTTTCCAGGCTATTTGCCCCACAGATGGCTAGGTGACCTCTGGATGGCCCCTTCTCTTCTCAGGACTTCTGTCTGGTTCCTTAAGTGTAAGCTGAGAGCGTTAGGGTTCATTCTTTTGTGACAGAATGGCTCCCTGTCTCCAGAAAGTAGAAACCAGATAAGACTGCCTGGTTTTAAGAATCCTTAATCTCTTTTGTCCCTATAGCAGAACTGGGGCATGAGGGTTACTCCCAACCACTCCATGCCTCTGGTCCCCACCACGCAGGAGAGGTGTGCCTTCCGGTCTCATCCTTTCCTATAGGTCCCACAGATCTACTCCAAGAAGCAGGTCCAGCCCTATGGAGGCAGCTGGACCAACAAGGCATGGTCATCACCAGCTTAGCTCCACAGAGTCGGGGTACCGCTGGGCTCCTGAGCCTGACCAAGCAGCTTCCTGGCCTGGACACCCTCTGTGGCCCAGTGGTTCTGGTGCTCCAAGCCTACACTAAGGGAAGAGCTTATTCATGAGCAGACTGTCTTGGGTCTGACCCAGTTTCCTGGCCCATCCTCTCCTGCCACACTGACTGCAAGAAGCCCTGGTCTGCCCCTGATTTCCACCTACCACCAGAGGGCTTGTAGAAACCTGGAGCTCCAGCCTCCCTTCGTGGGAGAGCCAGGAAAGTGCCAGAAGGCACCTAACCTGGGTAAATATCTTGAACTTCATGCCCACCCAAACTGGGCTTGTGGGAGCAGTGAACTCTTTAGTTATGCAAAGGGAAGCAGGCTCAGGACACCCTCTGCAGTAGAGAGTGAGGCCATCCCAGAAAAGACCCCAGTTCCTCTCCATTCCATAGTTCCCTGGGGCATGCACTGCACTGGTGAAGATTTTTCCCACATTCCCCTGAGAACAGGACACGTTACTTCCTTTAACCCGTAGTATTTTGGCTGGGCAGTCTTAAGGGGCAAGGATGACCAAAAATTTGTGTGTAAATGTGAGGGGGGTTTCATATGGTCAGTAATGAGTGTCAGGATGTTTACATGCACACAAGCAAATACATACTCCTCATTCAATACCAGGTGTAGGAACTCATTAATCAGGATATGCAGAAATTGGCAGGTTTTTTGCATCAAACTCTCAGCTGTATTTCTAGTATACCTTGACAAACATAAATACATACATCCCCATGGTTCAGCCATCTAGACCAGACTATATATGCTAAGGCATGATTGCTATATATGAGGAACTCTCTCAAATACTTCTGCCCTCACTTAGGGAATTCCTTAAATCATCTTCTCTAATAGAAACTCGAAAGTGCAAGGAAGGAGAGGAGAGAAAGGAAATGAGAGATGAAGAAAGGCAGCCACTGCCTCAAACTCTTAGCACTGGGGAAATGACCAAACTACAGAGTTATGGAGAAACCCCTAGGGCTGGAATTAGAGACAGATGTCTTTCTGTGGGCATCCATTGGGAAGTGGGGTATAATCTGTCTCCCTTCTCTGTGTGGGATCTCTCCTCCAATCCCTGTGATTGGAAAGCAGGAATCCCTCACTGATTCTTTCATTTTATCCTCCATACTTGGTGAGACTGCTAGTGAACTTTGGGTGCCTCTTGCCTTTCAGCTCTTGGGGACAGAGAGAGGCTGTCCTCCAGTGTTGGCCTAGGCCAATTTCCCCTACCTCCATGAAGTCTCTGCCCTGGAGACTTTCCTCTTTTGCTTTCTCTGCTGGGGATAGCAGTTAAGGGGTGCCTAGGACTGACCCTGGAACAGACAACCTCCATCAGCTCAAGCAAAGGCTCTATATGCATTTTTTGTTATCATTCAGCAAGCCAGGACTATATACCAAGAACGTAAGTGCACAAATTACCAGTGACTTATGAATGCAACACACACTGTGGTCCCAGTAAGCACTCCTTGAGCATTAGGCATATGGTTATTATGATGCCCAAGATATGTGCCCTCTCCGGAGGTGAATGATAGATATACACACCCCCCATCCTGTCACCAGGATACGACTTACACTATCCTCACATATTTGCAGCAGGCATCGACTACACAACTGCCCACAGCATACATGTTCACACCACAGAAAGCACAGATAGACACAGGCACAGAAGCCCAGTTTCCTTTCTGCAACTTGTCTTAGCCAGACAATAGTGCAGTGGCTCACTGAAGCACCCAGATACTAGAGCTGACCTGTCTCTCGGGCTTACCACCCCAGCTGAACCTTCCTCTCCAGCCTGCTCCTTCCTGCTTCCCTGGCATTGGCAGGCTCCGCTGGAGGTCTCAGGATGATGCTCCTTAGAACAGCAGTGGCTTCATCCTCCACCTTTCAGTATCCCCAGGGATGCCCAAGGGAGAAAGCTGTCCTGGGTCACAGCCACTTCCCCTTAGGCCCAACTACACATAATAGGGATCTCACCTTCATGATCCCACAGCAGAACCGCTAGTATAGGCTGAAGTGGGAAGCCTGCAGCCTTTGTCCCTGTTACTAGCTGCCTCTGACCTGCTGGTTAGCCTGGACCAGTGGACCTTGCTGTCCAGGCCCAGAGTGGGGGCAGTGAGGGACACATGGCTGGAGTTCTGTCCAGCCCAAGCTGCACCACGGTGGAGGGGAGAGCTGGTTGGTACCTCTTATCTCATTAGCAGACTGAAGGCTGAGCACTCCTAATACTCCTTGAGCTCCCGGGGCTGTAACATGGTCAATTGCCCATGTGCCTGTGAGGAAGCACTGGTCTGAATTCGTTGTTGGAGGAGTCCCAGTAGAGGAAAAGAAGGAAAAAAAAAAAAAGATTTCTAGAGCCACGCAGTATGTTCATTCCTCTCTGATACTCCTAAATCTCTTACACATATCTCGAGGAAAATGAATTCTGATTATTAAAAATAATAAGGCAATCAATGTAAGTCGCTCCTTCCATTTGTACAGACATTTGCAGCCTATAGAACATTTCCCCAAACAGGATTTTTATCTATTTGGAATAAACTTTTCTGGTTATTATATTTGTCTGGAAAAATGAACGTATTCGTTCAATATAATGAACACACAGTCCATACACCTAGTGCGACAGCATAAGAGGTAAAATACAAACTCGAATAGGTGCAGAAATCGAACAAATCCTACCTACACCCATGCCTTGTGAACAAACCGCCACTGATAAAATCTCTTTGATGACGTTATACAGTCACTACAGATCAGTGATGACACAGAAAACAAACAATCCCCCCAGAAAACAGAGAGGCAGCAACAACCACAAACGTCCTCCACTCGGGCTGCCCTCAACCCTTATTTATCTGAAAAAGGATAAAACTTGGCTGGAAATCTCCCTCTTTTAACCTGCAGCTCAACAAACGTAGGCAAGGCAGAAACAATATAAGTCCGCTTTAAAAGAAAGAACAAAAAAATTTATTTGGGAATTGACAAGACGATAACAACAAACAAACAAACAAAACAACAAAAGTGCTCTAGTTCTTTCTAGAAAATTTGGTCCTCCAAACGACACACTACAGAACAACCACGTCTAGGGATTTTCGGGCCAGCCGGCTCCGGGCCACAAGCCCGCCTGGTCCGACTGCTGCCAGGTTTCACATTTCTCCTGCCCAAGGTGGGAGAAACAAGACGTTTGTAAAACAAAAATCAGTGAGAGGACGAGACGTCCCTGCAGCGTCCGCCAGGAGATCCGGGGAAATTTGTTTTTGATTTGTTTTTAGAATGCTAGAGGGCGGAACCCCCCAATTCGTAAAGGAAACCAACTTTTACTGAACATATTCTACCTCTCTGAACATAGGTTTTTGAAGGCCCGACAGGAATTCTACTTCAAATCTCTTCGAAGAGATTTTCATGTTTTGCTTAGCAAACTCCAAGGCCACAATACTTCGCCGGTTTTCCCGGTTAGGTTTTTTCCCCCCTTAAAAAAATATTTTGAAATGTTATCTAAAACAGCCCTCCCGATCTTTTGGGCGAAACATTAGCCGGCCGCCACGGGCCTAGAGTTGCCCGAAGCGAAGCGCCGAGACGGAGAGCGGAGGACACGAAGGCTGTCTCGGAGCGGGGATGTGTTGTAAACCCCAGCGCAGGCCGCCTAGCGAGGCAGCCCCGCTTCCCGCTCGGTCCCAACCCCCGCCCCATCCAGTGGGCCCGGGCAAGCGGCTTCTGAACCGCTCCAAGAGGCGACGTGGAGCAAACACACGTTCGTCTCTTTCTCGGGCGACGCGGGTCTCATTGCCCGCCCGGACCGGCGCTTCCAGCCAAGGGCTGCGCGGCAGCCCGGTGGGGAAAGCCGAGCGCGAGCGCACCGACCTGTGTGAGAAGGCCAAGAGGTCTGCACCGCCGACGCCCGGCTGCACCTCGGCCCCGGCGCTTCCTCTCCGCTCTGAATTTTGGCAAAGGGTGTCCAGCCTGGACGCCAGGGCACCGCGAGGAGACGAGGCCTGCAGAAGGCGCGCGGAGAGGCGGCCTGTAGGCCGGGGGAGCGAGAGGGCAGAGAGGGCAGGGAGGCGAGCAACAAGAGGGGAAGCGGAGGAGACAAAAGAGGGGCAAGAGGAGCTGAGGGGAGCGAGGAGGCTCAGAGGGCCTTGGACGCTGGCTCAGAGATGGCCCCAGAGGGCGCGTGGTCCGGCCGGCGGTGGCGGCTGCGGCTTCGGCTAAGGCCGGCGTCGCACGTCCCTGCATCCTCAAAGCCGGCATGCGCTGGGCTCTCAGAGATCGAGGCGTGAGTGCAGCGCGCCGGTCTTGCTGTCGTGGTCCCAGTAAGAGCAATGCATCATGGCGAGCTCGGGCTGCCGGGCGCAGGCGAACTGCAGGCCCGGCGCATTGGTGGGCGCGGGCGCCGGGGGCGCGGCGGTAGCAGGGCTGGCGGGGCTGAGCTGGCCTGGGGGCGGTGCGGCGGCCCCGTGGTGCGGCGGGGCGGGCGGGGGTGCGGCGGCCGCGTGCAGATGGTGTGCATGCGGGTGTGAGTGGGGATGCGGCGGCGGCGGGGGCGCGGCCGGCGGGCCTCCAAGGCCGTTGTACGAGTTCACCACACCGGGAGGCAGCGCCATGCTCTGTACGCGTGAGTACGGCCCATACGAGGCGGCCGGGCCAGCCAGCCCCTTGACTACCGCGGCCGCTCCCGGGCTGCCCGGGCCCGCGGCGGCAGCTGCGGCGGCTGCCGCCGCAGCGGCGGCCGCCATCTGGCAGGAGGCGTAGGGCATGGGTGAAGGCGGCTGCGGTAGCGGCCAGGAGTTGTTGAGGAAGCCGGACTGTAGGTACTTGGGAGGCGCCAGGTAGCCATAGCCGTCGGCCCCGGCGCCCGCTACGCCGCAGCCGCCCGCGGCGCCCCCGGCCCCGAAGAGCCCCTTGCCGGGCTGGAAGTGCGCGGGCGGCGGCCGGAATGGCCGCTTCATGCGGCGGCGGCGCCGGTAGTTGCCCTTCTCGAACATGTCCTCGCAGGCCGGGTCCAGCGTCCAGTAGTTGCCCTTGCGCTCGCCGCCGCCCTCGCGCGGCACCTTGATGAAGCACTCGTTGAGGCTGAGATTGTGGCGGATGCTATTCTGCCAGCCCTTCTTGTTCTTCTCGTAGAACGGGAACTTGGCGATAATGTACTGGTAGATACCGGACAGGGTGAGCCTCTTCTCTGCGCTCTCGCGGATCGCCATGGCGATGAGCGCCACGTACGAGTACGGGGGCTTCTGAGCCGGGTCCGGCTTCTCGGGGGCTGTCCCAGAGCCGCCGCCTCCTCCCTTGCCGGGGCTCGGCGGCGGCGGCGCCTCTGGCTCCTTGGCTGCGCGGCCGGTCTCCGGGGCCAGCAGAGCCCCCGCGGCGTCCTCGGGCTCGGGGTAGCTAGCCATCATGACAAAGCCGGCGCGCCGCTGCCGGGCAGCCCCTGCTCTTTTTCCTTGGTGCTGGCGCGGCGGAGTACGGGCGCACCAAGTCCGCACACGGCCGAGTCTCAAACTTCTGGAGACTGCGGATGCCGCCCGTGCTCGCTCGCTGGCGGCCTCTCGCTCCGCTCCTCTCCTCTTTCCCTTCCCCTAGGGAGCGGCCGGCGGGAGTGGAGCTCAGCCTCTGGCCATGGGGAGTCCGCCCAACAGAGAGGGGCTTCGGCCCCGCCGCCCCTCCCCGCCCAGGCCAGTCCCCGCCTCGGTGGGTTTTCTTTTCGGCGCTCTTCCCCTCCCCCCACCCTCCGGTTTCCCGAGGCAAGACCCACGTCTCTGGCGGAGCTGCCTCCTGAAATCCCTAGTGCGCCAGGAGCCTCGCTCAGTTCTGATTCGTATGGGCTCCGCCGAGTTCCGCTTGCGTCAGGCGCCTTCGCCCCTATAGCGGGGCGGCCAGTCGCGCACGGGCGAGTTCATCTCCAAGTCACTTTTTGTAAACGCCCCGCACAGCCCGGACCGGCCTGCCCCCTCTCAGCGAGCTGAGGGCGCCCGGCGGACGACCCGGCTCACGCTCTCTCAAGCCCTTGCAATCCGCGGGTGCTCGCTCTGCGGACTGGGCCGGGAGATGCCGAGGGCCCAGGCGGGGTCCGTCCACACTCGGCCAGTGCCCAAGGAGCTCGGGCCCTAGCGCGCCAAGCCTCCTCGCGGCTTTCAGGTGAAAGAAAACGACTCCCCTGCTCTGCCCTTTGCTAAGGTCTTCGGGCAAAACTTCTGCCTTGGGGCTGGGGGAGGGGCGGGATGGCGAGGGGGCCGGACGGCGCTGGGGTGGAGAGAGCTGCGCGGTGGCTTTCGGAAAATCAGCCCAGAAACGCGTGTCAGTGAACCGAGGAACCTCGGCCTGGCCTGGCCTGTCCGTCGCGCTTCCAGAGTGACTCGGCCGGATGGGGCTGGGGAGACGATCCGGGAAGAGGCGCCCAGGAGCTCCGTCTGAAGCGCCGCCCTTCCTTGCTCTGCCCCTGGACCAGACCCCTCCTCAGAATCCGCGCTGTAATCCTACGAGTTGGATTTGTGGTTTAACAACACCAAGTAGACCCCACTCTAGTCCTGCTCCTTCACGGTCGTTGTTGTGGGGCTTTGGGGGATTTTATTTGTATGTGCACCGGTATCACATATAGAAGTCATGGGGAGGGTCTGTTCTTGAGACACATGACATACCAGTTGCCCAGGTGCTCATGTGCTGGGACAAAAACAGAGGTATGCGCACTTACAAGGTGAGATTTATATTTATGGGGTAATCATTTATAATTACAGATATGTAATGGTACATGTGTGTCACCTATCAGTAAATGTGGTTCCAGGATGTTGCATCTTCTTTCTTTTTCCTCTCTCTCTTTTCCCTCTCCTCCCCTCTCTCCTTTCTTCCCCTTCCCCCTTTCTTTGTCAATATTCTGTCACAGACTGGGAGGAAGAGCAAGAGGCTGTGAGGGAGGCATTTGTTCAAATCTCTCTCCTGACAAGACATTTGTTCTGATCTTTCTCCAGGGCCAAGGGGTGAATGCTCCTGCCTTCAGGGGAAATTAATGTTGGCAGGAAAGGCAGCTCTGCTTTTTAACAGTTAACTTAGCCTTAACAAAAGATCTGCAATCATTAAGTGTGAGAGAGAGGTCTGTCTTGTGTTTTGAATCTTCATACCCCAAACTGCTTGGTACTGAGGAGGCCAGGATACTTTGGGGAGGAAGTTGGACAGAATGGGTGTCATGCAGGGGTGTCCTATGTCTGGATGAGCATGGCTGGAGTGGCTGCCCCAATGCTGGTTACTACCACTTCCCCCGAGCCCAGTCTCTGAGGAAGTCTGAAGAGTGCTTTGTGGCCTAAGGGCTCTTATGGGCCCAGCACCCAAGGCGCAGCACCCACGGCCCACCTGCCGGTGTTGCCTGCTTCCCACTCGGCTTTCTGATCTACATTCTGAGATTAAAGGAAAGGAGGACTAGGTGAGGGGTTCTTTGGAATTCAGTATCTTGAAAATGACTCCAGAGAGGTCAGCAGGGCAGTCTGGTCTGACCATTACAGTAAGAGGGAACAGGGCTCTCCTAAACTCACCTCAGTAAATATCCTCCTCTATCTACCCACCATTGAAAATATCTCCAGGTAGCTTGATTGTTTTCTTCCACTGCTCCCAGTATACACCGGGGTAAGCAACACCTCTTCAAAAACCTCTGGCTGTCTCCTGAGCAGGAGTGCAGGTGTTTTTCTTCTTTCTCACCAGTCGACCCTCCATCCATGCCTAGGCTAGGGGTGGGAGTGGTGTGAGGTTTGGTTCTGTGCACATTGACCCTACTGCCCATCCCCCCCCTCGGCCTGGACAGGGGGAAAAAACAGCTGGTTCTGGCCCCAGCCTGTGTGTGTGTGTGTGTGTGTGTGTGTGTGTGTGTGTGTACCCGCGCGCGCGAGCGCTCTCCTCTCCTCTTTTTTTTTCTGACCACCCAGGCTGGCTCTCTGTCTCTCTCTCACCCTCAAAGGCATTTCCGCTGCTGGCCTGCAGCAGCCAGGTGTAACAGCATTGTTTTGTGTGTCATCACTTCCCCGAATTCCAAACTCGGCTCCTTTTTCAACCTTTAAAGTGTGTGTGTGTGTGTGTGTGTGCGCGCGCGCGCGCGCGCGTTCGTTTGTAGGGGGTGGGGGTAAAGGAAGGAGTTCCTCTGAAGGAGTTTCTTAGTGGACAGAGGAGGAGTCCTGCTCCTTTCAGGTATTGATCTCCCCAGGAAGCGGTGGGGCGCGCCTTGGTTTACTTCTCAACCCTCTAGGGCCGGCTGGGTAGGGCCCCGCTTCCTGGCGGGGTCGGGATCCCGTCTGGCAGGCAGACTGCATCGAGGCTTGTGGGGGGGGGGGGGCATCCTCTCTCCCCGCGGCATTGCGGCGACGCCAAGCCCCAGCTCAGTGACCTCGGGGCGGTGCCCACCTCGGAGGGCCGGGCTGAGCTCCTAGCCTCTCTGCCCGGGGTTCCCGGGGCCTGCGGCCGCAGCTCAGGAGCCGCCAGTGCCTTCTGCAGGTCCTCCCGCGCGGGCGCCGCGGGTTGACACGGTGCGGGCGACCAGCCGAGGGGGCGCGGCCCCGACAGCGGCTGCCAGCAATTCACTCAGCCCTGAGGGAGGGACGAAAGGAGACGCTTCTCTCCGCCACGCCGGGAATCCCGCAACAGTCGCCGAAGCGGCTGTGCCTCCCTGGATGCCGGCGGCAGGGTCTTGCCAGGTGAGCCGCCCAGCGATCCCGACGCTCGCAGCGCGCTTCCAGGGCACGAATCGCCTGGCCCGGTGTTGCCGCCGGCTGCTTGAACCGGGTCCCGAGGTGCCCTTTCCTGGCGGGGCCCTGAAATACCCACGGGCTTCCCGCCCTGCGCGAGGACAGATGAACTGAGCCTACCGCAGCCATCTCCTTGTGGATATGGCCTCCGCGGCGCGCGCGCCTGGAAAGGGAAGTCTGGATGCGTTCATTCGCACATCCCTACACGACTGCACACCTCAACGGTCAGCACTACTCCCAGCTCCTCCTACACCCCCATGGACTCCAGGTCTCTCTACTCCCGTCACGTTCCTCCATGCACTTCTCTCCAGTCAACCCTGTACCCTCTGCAGTTCTCCTTTTCCCCACTGCCCTCACAAATACTAGTTCAGATCCTGCAGATTTTGGTGGAAAACGTGCCACTCTGATGCCTGGACTTTAAGCCTCTTTACACACTTGGGCACTCAGCTTACTCAAGACACAGAGTGACCTCTTGTCCACAAGTCTGACTCCCAGAAGCCTGCTGATTCTTTTGATGTCTTCGGCCCAGGGTTAGGGTGACTGGGCGGCCACCTGATGTTCTCTTGGTGAGGTTGCTGTTCAGAGTTCTTTGGGAAGCTCAGGTACAGAACATATCCCTGAGGCACTTTCACACAGGCCATTCACACAAGCTCCGTCTCTGTTTTGCAGCTGAACTCCCTGCCGCTCTGACAGGCTGCTGCGGGAGCGCGGGCTTGGTTCTTCTGCACACACCCACAAGGCCAGGCCCCAGGCCAGCCAGTGTTATTCTGCCTGTTTGGGATTAGCAGAGACTCTCACCCAAATATTTGCTTGGGAGAAAGAGTGAGAGAGAATAGGGAAATGGAGAGGGAGGGACAGAGAGAGAGAGAGAGGAAAAGCCACCACACTTTCTGGGGAAGAACTCACAGATGAGAGCTGTTTCCAGTTGGTATCTTAGTGAATCCTACCAGCCAAACCCTGTGGAAGGCTGGGCTGGGAGGTAGTAGGCTAGAGTTCTGGGCTCCTCCATACTTCACCGATGTTGGGCCTCAAGTTCACTATCACCTCTTTGCCCCAAGGAGTGTGTGCCCTACCCTTCACCAGGCAGACTGCAGGGCAGTGGTAGGCATTTCTCCTGGTTGAGCCTAATTCAAGGAGAAAAGGTGGCGGGGTGGGGTGCGGGGGGTGGTTCCTGGACACTGTGGGACCTTCCCTCTCCAAAGACTTTTGGGAAGCTCCCAGAGAGACAATTCTAGGGAGGCAGAAACTGCTCACCAGCTTCCTTTGGTGTTCCGTGGCTATAACTCCCCTGGCCCCAAGCCATTTTCTTCAGCCCTGAACAGTGAGTACCCTGCCACTAGGCGCCCCCACCCCATGCTTGAGAGCGTGATGTGTTGTTTAAAGTTGGCTTGTTGCCTTTCTCCACACCCAGACTGTAAGTCTTGATGGGTAGAGACTCTGTCCTCCGCTTGTCACTCAGCGGACTTTAAGCCACAGAGTCAATCCACCAGGATTGACTTAATGCATTCCAATGGCATTGCAAAATGCCTCCACTCCACAGAGAGAATTGAGAGATGCCTCTTTCCTTGTAATAAAGTTGGAATTTCCAAGAAAGGGACTGCAGGTGGGGAAGAGTGGCTGGACCACGGAAGGCCAGCTCAGGATCTGAGAGTCCCCCTGGCAATTGGGACTATATGCTCATTATAGCTGCACAGCCATGGTGCTGAACCTTAGGCAAGGAGACAAGCCACCTTTCTCATGTTGAGGACCTGTGTGAGACACTTAATAAACTTTACTAGAGATGGAGTGGACTTTGCATCTGCAGCAGCCAGCTTATAAGGTAAAACCTGCTGTCTGGCCAAGAAGGCCCATGCAGAGTTGGCTGAAAGAACCCTTCCTCTTCATCCTCATTTCCTGCTCA